CCTTCAACCCAAACCATTCTATGGTGCTATGAAGCTGAAGGAAATGGGGCACTGGGACCAAATCTGCTCCTCAAAAGCTCTGCACCGTGGAAGCAGGAAGGTGCATTTTTTATGGCCCGGGTAAACAGAGCTTCAACCCCATTTACGAGCAGCACACTGGGTGTTTTACAGCACCCTGGGGATCTCACGCCAGCGCTGGTATGCTAAGACATAGGCAGGATTTGCGCCGTGCAGCCACAGACATTGTCCCAGCCGGGTCACCTGGCTGGGTCAACCCTACCAAGGCCCTTTAGTTTCAAACAATAACAGGTTGATCTCCAGGATAGCAACAAAATGCTTTCCATTGTCCCACGAGCTGGCTCCATCTGCCAGGACAGCACGGCAGGGCAAGCTCAAACAAAGGACCCAAACTGGCATTCCCAGCCCCGCGAGGCGGGTGAGCAGCCACCGGGTTATATATTTAATCTCACAATGGCACCCAGGAAATGAATGGTGTCTCCAGGAGATGAATGCAGCCCAGCCCGTGGCAACGGGCAAACCACAAGAAAAGATCCTGGAGATCATGTACGTCTCAGCCCTCCTGCCATCAGGCAAGGAATGGCGTTATTAACCCTTCAAATGATGGAACTGAGGTGGCATCGAGCATTAGCTGGCAGGAGCTGGGGTGGGCACTGCCGTTGCAGCTCTGGTGCTGTGCTCAGAGGGGCTGAGGCCCCAAAGCAACCCCAAACTGGATGCAGACACCCTGAACCTGTCTGTGTGTGGCTCTGGTTTGGATTTCCTCCTTCTTGCCCACCCTTACACCACTACCAGGCTTCTTGACTGCTCAGGTCACATCCTCCTTCGCCTCTGTCCTTCCCTCTGACAAGCAGAGCAGAGGGAGGCGAACGCACTTGGATTTCCAGCCCGATTACTGGGGAACCTGGAAAACTGACTGCATTTTATTGGGATCCAATTGCTTGGATACATCATTATGTTGTGAGTTGTAAGGCTGGTGCCTATCTCAGACAGGTCACGCCTCTGGGTACAGAGCTAAGACCCCTGCTCCAAACGGAAGGGGAAAAGAGCTATTTCATTTCAAAACGAGAGCCCCGAGTACAGATTGCTGCTGAGACAAATGCTTATCACCACCCGGCTCTGGGGGCTGGGACAACGTCCTTCCTGTTCCTTTCTTCCACCCCTTCCGTGCTGTTCTCCAGCCTGCTCCCAACCCAGCCCCTGCCAAAACAATACTGTACCTCCTAACACAGCAGAATTCCTGGCTGGCTTGCTGGGAGGAGTGATAAGAGGGGAATGGAGCAGAGCCAAGAGCAAGAGCCGATTCCCAGCCTCAGGATGGGGTTTGTTCGTTGTTCATAAAAAAGCAAAGTGAACTCTGGGCCAGCTTAATTGCTCTCAGTAAAGATCAGCCCTTCTATAAAAGAGATTTATGAGGTCACTGATGGTTCCTGGATACCGGGGGATCTGATAAAGTTTCAGGTATAATAAATGCCTTACTGAGAAGACCTGTGCTTGAGTGCACCAGTGCCACCGAGTTAGGTTTACCCCAGGGAAGCTCGTTGTGGTGGGAACTCCTCTGCGCTGGTGGCACGGTTTACACCAGCCAGGGCAGCCCGCGGCACCCTCGCCCTCAGGAATGAGGCACAGCTCTTCTGTACGTGTGCTCAGAGCCCTTCTGTACATGTGTTTGGTAGCTCCAGTGACACCATCACCAGCAGCTGCTAAAGTGGGGACAAGTGGTCTGTGTGGCTGGTGCACAAGGAGATACGAGGGGTTCCTTCCACTCCTTGGGAACCACAGGGATGCTTGACACAAACGGAACACCCCTTGTCTCCTCAGAGGTCACGTATATGCACCACATGCCCTCTACACAATCTTTTTGTGAGCTAAGCAGGATCAGACCTGGCTGGGATGTGGGACATCTCAAAGGAAGAGCTCAGGGACATCTCCTCCTCCCAGACTATCAACTCAAGAGCCTCCAAGAGTTCTCCTAAATTTTAGACTGTTCCTTGCAGGCAACAAGTGCACACAGCAGAGTACAGCTGCTACGAATCAGTGCAACCACTGGACTCTTTCTAGTGTTAACATCAGTAGGCTCAGCTCCTGACACCAGTAACCACCCTGGCTCAAGGTAACTAGCATGGTCACTGACAGGCACGGTGTAAGAAGTGCAGACGTGGTGCTCTTACCTGTGTGAGTCCTCTGATGGGCCTTCAGGTGCGAGCTTTTGGTATAAACCTTTGAGCAACCTGTGAAAACACAAAGGAACCAACTTCAACGGTGAGGAAGGGCCAGAACACATCCAGAACACCGGTATCTGGTATGAGGGACAGAGCAGGGCTGGGAGGCACAGCATGCAAATAACCTGCTTGGGTCAGCAGTAACTGAAGAGCATTTGCTGTCCAAGGCAGACCAACCTTTACACTACTCCACCTTTGCCATGCAATCCTGGCAGCAATGTGCTGGGAACTAGAGGGGGAATAGGCAGGCACAGACTTCCAAATCCCCCCTTCCTCAGCCAGGTCTTTGAGGCAGGATAAAACACGCATAAGAAGAATGTGCATCCAGAGAAGCTGTGGCTGCCCCATCCCTGGCAGTGTTCAAGGCCAGGTTGGACACAGGGGCTTGGAGCAACCTGCTCTAGTGGAAGGTGTCCCTGCCTGCGGCAGGGAGTTGGAACTGGAGGAGCTTTAAGGTTCCTCCAACCCAAACCAGTCTGTGAGTCTATAAGCAACACAGCCCTGTTTTTCATTCCAGTGTTTGCACACAGCCTGAAGAAGCCTCTCGCACGAGATCATCTCTCCACCCCGTCCTGCTCAGGAGGTGCAGGAGCAGTCACCTGCCTTTCCCCTCCCTGTGGTACGAGGGATAATGTGACCCAGCTCAGTTTCCCTTCTGATGCTCTGAAGCCTCAGAGGCCCCTCACACTCAGGAGGGATGAATGTGGGTGGTACCAAGGGCTGCCTCCCTGCTGGGCATGGAAACGAAGCCAAAGGAGCACCCAGAGCAGGGCAGGGCTGAGCTTCACTTCCCCTTGAGCACACAAAGGAAAAGCACCATGGCCACCAGCTGTGAACTGGGGCTGGGGTTTGCAAACAGGTCTCCCCAGTTCCTCCAGTTACTGGTGTGAATTCATCGTGCCTCCCATCACCTCCTCATGTCAGTGAGACCTGCTGCCCTGCCATCAGCCCTGCTGGCTCACCTCTGCCTGCACCTCCGTGTGGAGGATGAGCAGCAGCCCTCCCCTGCCTCTCACGTACACCCCAGTGTTTATCCAGTGCAGGCTGCCGGGGGGGTTCACACCACTCGTGTTCCTGCTTTCCTGTGCCGAAAACAGGTTTTGCCTTGGTAATGTGTCCTGCAGGATGGGACTCCTGCTCTCACCAGAGAGGTCTGTCTCAGGGCAATGGTCCACTTACACCCTTGATCTGTTTCCCACCATAGCCAGCAGAAGGTGTAATATTCAGCACAAGCAAGGACATGGGTGAAGCTTCTGGCTCAAAAAGTCCCTCATCTGCAGGTTGCCAAAGGGTGGGAAGGTGTAAGCACAGAAAGATCTCTCTAAACATCCATTATATAGCTCCTGGCGTCACTGCTGGAGACAGGATCTGGGCTGGACGGGCCTCTGGGCTGACCCACTGCAGCCTCTCTTGTGCCACATGAGGAAATGACTGTCCTCAGCTCACACACCCCATGGGAAAGCTGCTCATTCCCAGCAGCCTCATGGCCAGGGCTGGCCCGGGAAGTGGGAGCGTCTCCCTGCACAAGGGCTGGTATCCTCAAGCCCTCATGTTGCTGTCACTGGGGCTTCCCACTAAGAACATGATTCCTTCTCTCCGGCGCAGCATGAATGAGTGTGGAACTGCGGATCCCACAAGCTCTGTGTGCGCAGTGCAGGATCTCCTGCCCAAGCATCACAGGTCTTTAGATGGACATGCTCACGCAATGAGGTGCTGCACAGGGAACAGCTTCAGCTCATTGCCCTGAAATCCCTTTCCACACCATCCTGATGCAGCACATGAAGCCACCAAAGGATATCCTCAGAGATATTCAGCTCATTGCCTCTTTGGAAGAAGAGATTTGGGGCTACGGAGACCACAAAGGCTGCTTATGGAAACTACTTGGTGTGCTACCCAAGAGGGGACAGTGGGAAAGGAAATGTCAGTGAGAAAGCCAGCACGGTTTCACCTGCAGAGAGCATCTGGGAGCTCGGGGTTAGGCTAGAGCAGAGTGGGACAGGCAGCTCAGGCGGCGGAATTCCTGGAGCATCCCTGTGCTTTACAGGAGCTCCCTGCCCCTCCGAGTCAGGGGAAAGGGGACGGGGAAAAACAGGCACCAGCTAATGCAGGCGGGATGGACTCCTCTCCCCCTTGGTGGTGGTAGGAACCCCACATCCCTGGGGCTTTCCATAGCTCCCTTCATCATCCAGACAAGGTGATCTCAGACCAAACTCCTGCAGAGGCCCAGGGCCTTAGTGTGTCAAGAGGAGCCCTCCCAAAGCCAATAGATCCACCATCAACATACCTGGGTAATCGCAGTGATGGATTCTCCTTTTCTCTAGCTCAGGATTGTTGCGTCTGTTGTATTTGGGAGGCTGCATGACAATGTGCCCCTGGGAGACGGTCCCGAGGCCATTGGGGACCGGGGGGACTTGGGATGACTGGACCAACTTCAGTCCAAAAGTGGCTTCATAGGATGGAGGGGGTGAGATGGTGTTGATGAGCTCAGGCTGGTTTTCTGGGCTGCCAGGCTGTGAGTTGGGGGGTGACGGGGGCAGGTTCACCCCTGGAGCAGGGTAGAACTGCCCTGAGATGTTGAAGTTCCCCTGTCCCTGGGAGACGTGTGGGTACTGCTTCACCGGCTGCACAGGTCTGTGGACCACGCTGGACATGGCGCTACCTGTGGACATGGTGACCCCGCTGAGGCTGTTGATGGCTGTGGTGGTGTTGGAGGAGGATGTCAGAGAGGTAATGTCAGCGCTTCCATTGCCAAGAGGCATCTGGTAAAGCTGGGGTTGCTGTGGGTTGGTGGCCAGGGGGATCTCAGAGGGCAGCTCCTGCTTGATGAAGATGTTGTTCACCGCCACCGACTGGGGCATGCTGAAGACACTGGTGAAGTCGGGCAGGGTCTGCGTGGAGGCAGAGGAGCAGGGCTGGGCGAAGCTGGTGCCGGGCTCGGTTTTGATCTGTGGGAATGGAGCCATGGGTTTGGGTGGCCGGTACAGTCCCGTGCGCAGGTGCGTCGTGTCGGGCAGGATGACGTTGATGTTCACGCTGTACGGTGTGGAAGTTGGCTTCTCCGTGGAGAAGAACTCGTCCACCACCGAGGCGCTCTCCCGGCGGTACTTCTTGTCTGGCAGCACGGAGACAGGGGGCACCTCGTTTGAAAGGTACTTGTCCATTTCGGACCGTGCCTGTGGCAAAGGAACACAGAGAAGGGATTTGTGACGGGTCACCTTGGCACACCGGTGGTGGGAGTCCAACATTCAGCAAGTACTTAAGGCAGCAGGAAATGGAGAGAGCAGCGAGAAGAGCCAGAGGCTGCACTGATCTAGTTTGTCTCTGACTCAACCAGACTCCCCAGGAGTGAATCACTGTCCTCAGCCCCGCTTCCCTCCTACCCACCTGCACTGATAACAAAGGGTAACCTAAGCAGAGGATGCAGTTACGAGCCTCACAGAGGAGGGACAAGCTTTAGGTACAAAGCTTTGGTCACTCAGACAAGAGAATTTAACACTAGAAATGGGATGGAATCAGAAACTGCTCCAGTCAGGCCCACACTTCGGGTATGCTGGATCTGCAACCCACCTTAGACATGCTGATTCTGGTCTCCTTTAAACTCAACAGCCGGAGAGGTACTGCATTTTATTGCAGAACAGTATCTTCAATTAACTGAGACTATTATAGGTCAATATCTTTAATTAATTGGGGATAATTTGGACAGTAGCGCCTAGAAATCTAAGTGATGTTGCCACTAATTCAATGGACTGTGAGCCTAAAATGGAAACCACCAGACGTATTGTTCCTGTCTTGCCCTGGCAGAGTGACTCAGCCCTCACCTAACCTTTGGTTTAGTTCTAGTCTTGTAGAGCTGTTTGAACAAGCCCAGGTCCTCCAAGCTAACAGGACCTGTAGCTCAGACAATCACTGCCTGCCAGGCTGCTTCCCCTCCCGGTTCGTGTCTGATGCGGCATCCCACTGGATCCAGGCCCAATAACTCAGCAACCTGATGGAGCAATCCACTAGGAAATTCATCCCCTGGCATTTGATGACTCAAGTTCTGCTCTTTGTGGTTAAAGATACCAGCATTAATGCTCTTCTATAAAGCTACAGCCGTTAATTATGTGGTTATCCATGTGTCAAGCTCATTGCAAAGCCCTTGTAGACTCATTCATATGTAGAGGAGCTGGCAAAACCACCGGGTTTCCCTGGCAGAGCTGAGGTGCTGATCTCACCCCACACCCTGCATGCTTGAGCCGAGGGTTTTACAGCCCTGAACTATGTCATTGGAGTGCAACGGGCCAAAGTCATCCCTGCTGCAACTCCATTGCTCTTAACAAAGCTGGACGGGACCCAAGAGAGCTCCAGTGAAACCTATCACCCGTGCTTCCACCTAATTCAAAGAGCCTTTGCACCTCTGCAGGTCATACTGGCAACACATGGGTAAGCTGGCTCCCACCCAGACACAGGGACGTGCAACAGATACACCCTCTCCACCACGGGTGGAAGCTCAGAGCTGCTGGACCTGGAAGTGCTGCATTGAGCGGAGCTTCGGGACTGTTTTCTGGCTGCACTGGTGTGTGTACACACTGGGTGTAAATCCCTTCACTCCTCATCGAACCTGAAGAGTCCCTGCCCTCATTAGGGAAGCCATGTGGATACGAGCTCACTTGGTGTCGCGTCCCCACCTCTGCTCGAGGCAGGGCAGCACTCCACCACCATGCTCGGGTGAGGAAACCCTGGCTCAGGCACACCCCAAGTCAAGGCATCAATGGGAGGCGGGGAGGAGGATCAGAGGAACTCAACCCAGTCCTGGCAGAGGGGTCCAAACCCCTGAGGATGATCAGGGGCTGCAGCACCTCCTGCATGGAGACAGGCTGAGAACATTGGGGCTGTTCAGCCTGGAGCAGAGAAGCTGCTGGAGACCTCAGAGCAGCTTCCAGTGCCTGAAGGGGGCCACAAGGGGACTGCAGTGATAGGACAAGGGGTGATGGGTTCAACCTGAAATAGGGCTGGCACAGGCTGCCCAAAGAAGTGGTAAAGGCCCCATCCAAGGCCAGGTAGGACAGAGCCTTGGGAGACATGCTCTAGTGGAAGGTGTCCCTGGCCATGGCCAGGAAAGGGATGAGCTCTAAGGTCCCTCCCAACCCAAACCACGATCTCCTCTCTGCTTCCCCTGCAGCACCCAGCTGGGTTCTTACCCAAGGAGAACAGCACCAAAGCTCCAGAGCTGTGCCCTGCGCCGAGCACCCACACTGGCATAGGACGAGTGCTACCTGGGCGTCCCTTGCTCTGGGCAGCACCAGCGGCTCCGGATGCCGTTCATACCTGAGCAGTGAAGTGACCCACTCGCCAGCAGTGGGGGCAGGGGAAGGTGTTGATGCCTTTTACTTCCACACTTTCCTTATCTCTGGCATTTAACTTTCTCACCTTCAGTTCCCAAGGGAAGGTCTCCACCTACACAGCTCCAGTGGGTCCTTACGCAGCAGGTGACCGGGCAGGTATGGTACGTGTAGAAAGGCACCAAGGGCCCTAATCTCAGACCCAAAACCTGCCTTCTCAGCCAGAGTCCCCCTGTTCGGTGTCTCCTGACCTCCCTTCTCTCATAACCGACCCCTACCTGCAAAGCCGCCTTCCTGTCATTCCAATAAAGCCTGATAAATCCACTTGATCCTGAGCAGCCCTGGGGAAAGGGGGTGTCGAGGGGCAGCAGAGCAGAAGCAATGGGCTTCCGCTGGACAGGAGGGGTATTCAGAGGGATGCCCTGCCTGTGGCTGCATGCTGGAACCCATGGAACCCACACTGTGGTTGTGCCACAGGTCCCACCCAGCCCCAAGGGCCCCGGTGTCCTTCCAAGAGGGAGAAAGGGGCACTTTGCTTGTCTGTGTTCCAAAGATGCCTCCAAAATCCTGGTCCCCGCCAGCGCTGCTCGTGCTGGGTGCTGACACCCAGAACCAAGCCATGTCCCCGAGCACCTCCCAGCCAATGCTCTATCCAAAACCAGCTCCTCAGCCCTGTCTGCACATGGGGGTGACAAAGTGCTGACATGTCTGGGTGGGATCCAGTGTCCTCAGTGCAAGTGTCTCTGTCTGGCTTTCACTCACAGCTCCTTTTGGTCAGTGGGGATCCAGCTAATGGAGACACCCAAGGAGAGAGTCACACCAGTGGTGTGCTCAGACCACGGAACCATCAAATGGCTTGGGTGGAAGGGACCTTAAAGCTCCTCCAGCTCCAACCCCTGCCACGGGCAGGGACACCTTCCACTAGAGCAGTTTGCTCCAAGCCCCTGTGTCCAACCTGGCCTTGAAGATGGAGACACCAGGAGCTGGAGGAAGGCACCCAGCTGGAAGAAGGGAGGTGCCACCGTGTCCTGCCATGGACGCGGGTGGCTGTGGGGACATCTCCTGGGGCTGTACCTGTCACCAGCGGGGCAGAAGGATGCAGAGGGAGGAAGGAGGAAAGGGCTTCACCTCGAGAATGA